TTCCCCAGTAACGCTTACGAAGAGCTTCACTAAACTGACTAAAAATTTGAAAAGTTCTTTCTTTTGTAGAGGCCCAATCACCAGCTGAACCCTGTAATCAATTCATCCCTAAATTTACCTGAGCTCTAGGTGGAACTCCTGCTTCGAAAAATAACCGTTTTAATTTTTCTAAGAACAACATCGGGTGCAGGTTACCCCCTGTAAAGATAAGATTGATACCCCCAAATCTTTAAATACCGATATATAGTGTTTATTTTCTGTATGACAATTCTGTTCGTCACTTAAGTTTTGGGGCGGCACACTGCCGTCGATTGCCTCTGTAGTTTCTTTTACACTAACAGCTAACTTATTTCTCTGCATTTCCTCCATATTTTTCATTCATTTGATCTTTTTCTGTATCTCTAACTTCTACATTATACTCTACATCAGGACTGTAATCCTTACTTTTCTTATTCCTTCTTTTCGAACACATCTTCAAACCAACAATTTAGACACCTCTAATTTTTCTCTTCTTTTTGTAAACAAACCGAACACAACATGTATATTACGCACACCGTTGGGTACCAAAATGCTGTACCTAGCTCAGAAGGCAGGGATTCTTTACATAAGAGTATAAAACATATAATAATGCATAAAAGAAAACTGCAATCTACTGAACTCAAAATACTATCAACTAATTGTCCAAACATAAAACAAAAGCAAATACAACAACTTACAGGTAAGAACTCTCTTTACTATAACACCTTCTTCCAAGACTGCGTTGAGGTTCCAGACTTTCCCTAATCTTCGACCAGCCAATAACAAGTATTTAAGTAAGATAAGTACTCATACTTTATCAAATGGATAATTAATACTCCTTTCTTTAGTTTATTTGTCTTATTTAGACGTGGATCTCGATCCAACACAAAAACTAGTCAAATCGACTATCTCAACACAACGTAGATTATACGTTGTCTGGTTACTGCAGTCAACTGCCGTCTGTCTCATCTGGTATTAACCCTCGCCGTACATCCGTCTGCATCCCCCCCCCCTTTATGCGGCTCGCTTTGAAATACGAAGCACATCAAAAAGAACATATTCGTCAATTTTTTGGTGCATTACATAAACTAAAAGGAGATTCCTTTTTATCCAGATGTAGAACAATTGCATTAATATATAGTTTGCCTACTAGTTTTGAGCAGTTTAAGCTCGCTAATGAATGAGCTGTCATCTGCTGCTGTGTTAAAGGCAAAAATATTGGAGCAGGCCGAAGCTCAAAGTAATGATGAACCGGTTCAAGCGGCAGTAGCTCCAAGGGATCAAGATATAAAAAGTTTAATCAGAACAATAACAAATCTACTACAAAGTAACATTCGCTGTTATACTTGTGGAGAACCTGGTCATAAATCTTCAGAGTGCAAATAATCTAGCAAAACTAGTTACTCAAATAAACGCGGTCCAAAGAAACAAACTGCAAAAAAGACAGATGAGTCATTTGCTGTATGCTTTGGTGCTAGAGATCATAATATTAGTGAATGTAATTTGCTGTCTGCAGAACCTTGGATATTAGATAGTGGATGCACTAGTCATTTAGTAATAGTAAAGAAAAATTTAACATTTTAAAAGAGTCAACTTGTAGTACTCTAAATTTAGTCAGTAATTCCTTATACCTGTTCGAGGATTGGGAAATTTATTACATGAATTGTGAAGAATACCTTAAGGTGTTTAAGCTACAGAGCATCTTATACGTTCCGGATTTGAGGTCAAACTTGGTGTCAGTGGCCAATATTACTGATAAAGGTCACAGTGAAACTTTTACCAAAGATTCAGCAACAATTAGGGATCATAATGGCAAGGTAAAACTCGAAAGAATAAATATTTTTTTTCGCAAAATTCCCAGTCTCCAATGTATCTACTGTAATAAGTCAAAGTGATCTCAAGTGGCATGAGAAGCTTGACTATTTAAATTACAAAGACGTGAGTAAGATGATTAAAGATGTAATGAGATTGGATGCTGGAAAAGTAGATATTCCAGAGTATAATATTTGTGTTAAAAGTACCAATGTAATTTCACCTGACAACACTGCCTATATTTTGTTTTTAGTTCTCTTGGTAATGGTGTAAACAGTTTTTCCTAAATAAAATAATTAAAATATTTCGCAAATCAATACTGCATTAGTTATTTTGTTTCATCAATTTGTAACGACTCGTTTACCCTATAGGAGAAGTAAATCACCATGCAAAGTGATTTTGAGGATCGTACACACATTTGTTCTTGGAAAAATACGAGTACAACCACTGATGGGAGCTAAATACTTTGTTTGTTTCATAGATGATGCCTCAAGATGGTCAGATACTGATGGTGCAATACACGTTGTGAGTATGAAGGTCCGGCTATTCTAGCCAGTCCGAAGAATAAAAATTTTAATCTAGGTAGCCTAAAAGGAAGCCTTAAGTGGCAGTTCTCTAAGTCAAAACAAAACGTCAGTTTCAAGTCCTTTAAATCTACATCCAGCTCGAGATCGTGTTAGACCAAAATTATTAGGTACTGAACGTAGAGGTCGACCTCGAAAACTATTCCAATCCTCACAAGCAAGTGGAGATAGTACTCCAAATGAAAAAAAGGGTGATGATTATTTTTTAGCGAATAAAGATGAGGAAGATCATAAGAACATTGATGGTGTAGCAGAGTATCGGTCAGTGAAGCACTCAACGGCGATGAGCAAAAAACTTGGGAACGTGCAATTAGTTAGAATTTACCAGTTTAATCAAGAATAACACATTTGAAATTACAAAGTGTAAAAATGACCAGGATGTCGTTAGATCCCAAGTTGTTTTGACCAAAAAGTATTACCCTGATGGATCGGTCACCAAATATTTGCTCCAGTGGCTAGACTACAAACAATCCGTCTCGTGATGACTATTTTCGCTAGTTAAGAATTACAAATAGATCAAACTGATATTGTGGCAACCTATTTAAATGGTGTTCTTGATGAAGAAGTTATCATGGAAATGCCCGACATGCTGAAGGATATGTTACATAAGATAGCTAACGATACTGATAAAAAAATATTAAATACAAAGCGAATCCGTTGTTGAAAGCTATAAATGATGGTGATAATGTGTGTAAGCTCAATAAAGCCTTATATCGATTTCGCCAACCATGTCTTTATGATGGAAATCGTGATGATAATGTACTGTTTCTACTACTCTATGTAGATGATACCCTTATTGTCTCTAAAAGTACCAAATGGATAGAAATTAAACAAAGTCTCGCGGCTAAGTTAGAAGTCAAAGACCTAGGATTAGCAAAGTTTTGCCTAGGACTTCAGATAAGTCAAATTAAAGAAGATAAACTAGTTATTAACCAAAGAAGCTATATCTTAGATAACTTACAAAAATTTGAGATGAGCAAGTGTAAAACTGTCTCTACACTATCTGAACTTAAATTTTATGAATCAAACTATTACGATTCCAACAAAAAAGTCTGTGAACGCATTGGTGCCTTGATGTATTTATCGATGTCAACGTGACCAGACATATCAAACACTGTAATCAAGTTGGTACAATTCACAAGTTGCCCAAAGAAATGGCATATTGTCAAAGCAAAGAGAGTGCCAAAATATCTTGCTGGAACCAAAGATTTAGGGGAAGTCCATACTAGGTCGAGAAAACCAGTTTGATATTTAGATGCTGATTAAGGAGGTGACCCTACTGATCGCAATGTTAAATGGGACAAGATGTTAAATATATGAATTACAAAAATAGAAGAATGATACTTAGTTTGTGTAAAAAGCAACAGGCAGTTATAGAGATGGGGCTGAAACGTAGAGAAGTAAATATTAAGATGGGAGTCAGACAGGGATGCACACCGTCACCGCTACTTGTTAATTTATACATCGAAGACGCGATCAACATCATTAAAGACAGTACAACTGTAGGGATATACAGGGACAAAAGATTAATATGCTTAAATTTGCAGATGATATAAAAGTATTAGCATATAGCCATAAAATGAAAGCGGTATTGACAAAACAGTACTGTATGAATATAAATAAAAGTATAACTAAAATACTGGTATGCAAGGGAAGGAAAATGAGGGAAATAGCGAATATAAAGATAGGAGACCAAAAATTAGAAGAAGTGGTTTTAAGTATTTAGGAGGTCAGATAAGTCAGGACGGAAGGAGTAGTAGGGATATAAAGCAGAGAATAGCGCAGGGTCAAGTCGCCTTCAATAAAAAGAAGTCACTTCTATGCATGCGAAAGATTCATTTAGATTCGAAAAAGTTTGTTAAAGGTGTTTGTTTGGAGCATGGCGCTGTACGGGTGAGAAACATGGACGGTGGGCGCGGAGGAAAAGAAAACGATTAGAAGCGTTCGAAATGTGGTGTTACCGGCGAATTATAAGGATACCGTGATAGAGAATGTTAGGAATAAAGACATATTAGGAAGAGTTAGAAAACAGAGGACTCTATGGAAGTCAATAAGAAATAGGCGATTAGTTCAAGATAGGAAAGAGTGGACGTGCGTGTCCAACTAGTCTTAGAACTGATGATCTTATGATGATGATGATGAAGCAACTGCACCTTTTATGTTAAGACTTACTGCTACTGAAAACTATTATTAAAAAAATAATTACCACTTCATACGAAGAACTATACTAAACTAAATAAGTGTCTTATTCACTTAATGTTTAACTTAGCACAAGTCAACAAAATTAACAGTTTTTAATAAAAAAAAACATCGAATTTTCACACAACCCATGTAAATATTGTTAGGATATGTAAGGATGACATTTTCATATTAATATCATTGTTCATCAGCACTCTGAACGTTCATGAGGTTGATTTAGTTTTCCTTTTATAGCAGTGGGTAAAACAAATACGACAGTGCGGATTAAGTTTAAGTCAGTCTTAAACTTTTATGTGTTTAAACGAGTGATTGTTTTATAAAATAACGTACTGTAGGTATTTAAAGAACGAGAATTTTATTCTTTTATGTGCTTCTTTTAAATATGAATCAAGTAATACTTTACAACTATTGCATATAAGTGAGGTAACATCTTCAATATCAATTTATATAAGTGATAGTAACATTATATTGTGCTTGTAAATCATCACCAAATTGCAATATAACAATATGTATAATCCTGCTTCACGGCTTGTAAAATAGTGGTGTCTGTGGTTATGCATCACCGACAAAGGTAGCGACCAAATTTGGACGTCTTATGGTAAGCACTTTAATAATGAAAAGTGTTTTACAATAGAAAGTACAAAAAATTTTATGCCGCTTTAACGATCGTTTTATTAAATAGACTCCATTATGTAATTTTAGCCACTTTATTGTGTTAAGCTTTCGGCTTATTGATTCTGGCCTTTCATCACAGACCAAATGCAAATGAATGTACTAATATAGTCTATACCAAATAATAGGATAGATACTGACCTAAGTTCACATTTGTTTATTAAATACGATATAAACTACTGAGAATTATGGGTTACATCGTTTTTACTGCAGTCAAGTAGAATGGACGTAAGTTATGACTAACATTATATACATGTGTTTTGTAATATGAGGCAGCATGAATTAGAATGCGTCATACGTCGATAAATAATTGATCCATACGTAATTTTATAAAAATGTGATAGGTGTGACTGAATTAAATTTTATGACATAACATGGGATGTTATTCATTTGTGCAACTGTGATAAATTTTAATTTTAGTAGACACCGCATTTATGTTGTAATGATATCTATATTTTTTACGTAAGACAAACGATCCAAATAAATTCTCCTTTTGGTCCGTAGCGTAGCAGACAATACAACTAATTAAGAAACTTGAAACTTGTGTTGGTGAGAGTGTAACTATGTCTATGTAACAATCTATGCAAGCTTACCGACTCCCTTGTCTCAATGTTCCTTATTCTTCATTCACGCACTTTAATTCAACTTACCACATTTCAAAAGTAGTTATCACGAATTGTTCAATATATTGAAAAAGTAAAAACTTACTTTAATCATAATAAATGACATTGATCTGCTATTCAACAATAACGATAATACAACCACAACATAGCTTTACATACCTAGTCATTACAACATAACACCAAATTACGAAGTATTAATTGCTATTTATTTATTCTTTTACAAAATGTTCAAGCAATAAAAAATCAGCTGATGGTAAAAAGAAAGATAGGTCCTGTTTAAATGCAATTCATACATATACATCTATAAATAAATAAACATACGATAATTATATTTAAATTCTATTTTAATCAAATGTGATATTTTGACCACATATCTTTAAACTATGCTTCTTTAGTTGGATTCAGATGCCTGAAAAGTAAAAAATACTAAATGATGCAATATATATTAATAAAGAATACATAGTACGTAGTTTTAACAGAGACATGTACATAAACCAGACTATACGTAACGATTTGAAGCCAATACGATAAGCAACACATTATACTTCGTACAGGCAAAAAGAACGTTGCCAAAAGAAACAAGCAACTTTGTCGAATACTCACATTTGGGCGTCTTGGTTGAAGTTTACTGGTTGTTTTTGGGTGCTAAATGGTTTAGCTGTGTTAATAAAATAAAGTTAATAGATGTGTTTGAAATTTTCTTATAATTTACAATAATTAAAAAGAGTTCTCTCTTGTTGTGCATGTTATTAAAAAAGTATCGTTTGATAGTAAGTATTGAATCAATTAATTTAACACTTTGTTTTAAGGATAAACCATGCTGAAATTTTCTACAAATCAAATTATTCGAAAACAAAAAAGTATCCCTTCAAAATGCTGTATGCAGTGGCCATTTTTATGTAGATATTTATTGATTTTATTTTCAACCAAAAATAGGAACTACTGAAAGGCACTGTTTCCCCTATTTTTCATTTTTCCGGAGCATTTAACTAAAAAATCAGTACCTCAGCGATGTGCATAAAATTTTATTAGTATTAGGTGTAAATAATTCTTTGAAAACCTCTTTTTACGTTTTACAGAGTAAATGCAAACTTGTCATAGTGTTCACTGCGTAATACTAGGCCAATCTCAATTAATTCCAAGGCGTAAAATATCAAAAATGGCCCCATCAGTATTTAAATATTGTCAATTGTATTTTTGTTTCATTTTTTGCATTTTATCTTGAAAATTATCACACTAGTCGTAATGTTTTAATAAAATAATATGTTAAGAATTGCAGAACCTTTAATATAAAATTATAAATGTTTCAGTCGGGACTAGTTTTATCAAGGAAACGTGGAGAATCTTTGAATAGGTAATTTTTGAAATATTCATAACACTGCTAATTTAATATTTCCAGCATCTGTCTTTCAAGAAAACAAAATGACCATTATACAGAATCAATTTACAATATTCTGATATGTACTGGTTTGAAGATTTACTACAAGGTTTTTATAGTGTTTTTGCTATTCCATTAAATACTGGATGAATTGTAATGTTGATTGCCTACCGTTTTGGCTTCATTTACTTTAACGGCAATCGCGATTTATGTAATAGTCATGTCTGTGAGATTTAACCTTTCATTTAGTTATTGCATGTATGTAAAAACCAATTAAGCAAAACAGAAATAACATATTTAAAATTCTAAGTGCTTAGATTTAAAATCAGAAATTATTTCCACATTTTAAAATAAAAGAACCAGATTATATCAGATTAAAATTTGTGTTATATGCTCCAAAAAATTAGTTTCATATTTAGTTGTCGTCGTCAATCATAAATAAATAATTATTTTATGCAGAATACGTTTACAAATAACAAACTCAAGTGAAACAGTACATGCTCATCTCTACACTGTCCGTTGAATTATTATTTTATCTACTGTTAGCTAAAGCTATAACTTTAGAAAATTATATTTCTTAATGTTTTCTGATATATAATATTTTATGTAATTATAATAAAAAGGGTAGCTCATTACACCAATAAGAATACACTTCCGGTGTAAACAAGACACATTCCCTTCACCATGCACAACCGTTTACATGTTTTAATTCCGTCATGCATCTGTTTTGTTAAATAAGGTTGTAGTAAAGGAAGACAACACTCACGAAGTGACATGACATTTACGAAATACATGGGCAACGACAACAGTTACTTCGAGCCAGTCATTTCAACTATGATGTCGAGATGCATAACGAAATTAAAACCTGCTGACCATTTACACCGACGGCACACCCTATTAGCTCTGTAACATTACTTTCTAATTGAAATTGTCAAAAAATGTGTGAATTTGTATATCAAAAAAATGACAAAAAAGATCTTTCGACTTAAACTTTCATTATAAGTCGCATAATCCTCACCCTCTATCTACATGAACTTTGCACTTTTAAGTAACGCGTAATTTACGTAAAAATACTTACAGTTGGGTCACAATCCTCACAGTGCCAGGAGTAGCCACGTTTTTTCGGAGACTTTTTCAAGGGTGGTTCTAAACAACCAAAGTGGTAGCATTTCTGGCATTCATCGCAACTGTAAATAAGAAAAGTAGGTATAACAAATCTATACATTAATATGTGATTTTGTACCCCTTTTTAAGCACATTGCGCGCACGGGGAATGTGACATTTGGCATAATTAAATTTCACATAGAGGAGTGTAGAAAAAAAATAAAATTTATGTATATGTGCTAAAAATAATTAAACACAATAAAACATTCATCGTTGCGATGAGTAATTAAAAAAAAGCGATGGGAATACAGAGAACAGATTAAAAAAAGTAAAGTGAAACATATGATCAATTGATTGGAAGATTTAATACGGTCAGAGAATAAGTAAAAGAATAGAAGAAATGGAGTGGTATAATCACTTCAATGAGGCATTAGGAGGAAGTGAGGAACCGGTAGAAAAAAAAGTATAGAAAAAATGAAGTAGGTGAAGAAGTGAGGAAGATTACAGCAATAGAAATAGATGAAGTTATAAAGGGAATAATCTCTCTAGATAAAAAAAGGCATGTGGACAGGATAGAATACCGGGGGAACTTTGGTTATATGCGAAAAACATATTATGTGAAAAATTATACATAATTTTTGGGGATATATGGAAAAAGAATGATTTACTAAATGAATGCAGATGTGGGACCATACTTCAGATATATAAGAGACGGTATGAATGATTTAAAAAATTATAAAGGAATAACAATAATGGACACTGTGTTCAAAATATATACAAGCATAATAAAAAATAGGTTACAAAAAGAAATAGACGAAAAAACTATACTAGGTGAAACACAATTTGGATATAGGAAGGGGAGGGCAACTATAGACGCAATTTTTCTATTAAAAAATATAATACAAAAAAGAGCATGTGATACTTTAGATAGAGGGGAATTGCTAGGCATGTTGAGGGAGAGTAAAATTTAAAAAAATTTAATTAAAGGAATAATGGAATTATACAGAGAAACATCTGATCCGACGGGACTTGAACCTTGACGAAACTCTTGTATAAACTAGAGTGGGTGGATCGGCTTGCGAGTTTCGATGATTTAGGGAGCCGAACCATAGGTTCAACCATAATGGAGTGGTTTTTAAAGAGAAACCAGACTAAGACAAGTTCCTCAAAGAGGGCAGCAGCTCTTTTAGTACTCATGGTGGCAGAGATCACAAGGATTGGTATGGTACTCTGATGCACAATACTGCGATGTGGAAGGCAACGGGATACCACCACATTATGATATCCCAAGGAAAACGTATCAGACAGACATATGAAATGATGGCGTCCTCTGGGGTAAAGCACTCCGGACGTAAACTAGTCCCCCATTAGCAATATTTCACGAGTCGGAGCGTGGAATGTTAAGGCAATGAGGCAAGTAGGGAAATTAGAAAATTTAAAAGTAGAGATGGATAGATTAGAATCAGATATAGTAGGCATTAGTGAAGTCTGTTGGCCTGAAGCTGGAGTGGAGACTTTAGAGTAATACATACAGGATCGGTAGAAGGTAATTCGGAGGTAGGAATTGTTATGCGTAGGAAAGTAGGGCAGAGTGTAGAAAGTTATTTACAAAAGATAGTTATGGTTAAATTAAACTCAAAGCCGGTAAAAATGGTATTAGTGCAGGTCTACATGCCCACATCAACTTCCAGTGATGAAGACGTAGAAGCGGTTTATGCAAATATAGAAGACGTGTTAAGTTTAGTGAAAGGACAGGAAAACATAATAATTTTAGGAGACTTCGACGCAATAATAGGTGAAGGTAAAGTGGGTGCAATAGCAGGTTCTTTTGGATTAGGCAATAGAAATGATAGGGGAGATAGGCTGATAGAAATTTGCGATAAAAATAACCGTCGCGAATACTTTATTTAACCATCACGTTAGGAGTCGCTATACGTGGAAGATACTAGGTGATTTAGGGAGATATCAGTTAAATTACATACTTGTTAGGCAAAGATTTAAAAATCAAGTGAAGGACTGTAGGAGTTATCCAGGAGTAGATATAGATAACGTAGTAGCTGTGAATACCAATCTTAAATTGAAAATTCTAAAAAAAAAGGGAAAGTAGAAGACGTCTTGATTTAGAAAAGCTAAAATGTAACGAAACGCGTGATAGGCCAGGTAAAACAACAGACGAGATACTAAAGGCGGCGGGAGAAACGAATAACGGGGGCATAGAGACAGAATGGAACTGCATTAAAACGTACCTAAAGTCAGCAGCTACAGATATACTAGGTCTTAAACGAAACGAAAGTAGGAAACCCTGGATAACAAATGAGATTTTAGGATTAATAGAAGAAAGGCGGAAATATAAAAACAGGACAGACGAAGAAGGGCAAAAAAGATATATAAAGTGGGAAATAATTAGGAAGTGTAGGGCAGTTAAGTAACAGTGGATTGATAGGATGTGTAAAGAAGTAGAAGAAAAGTTTAAAGTAGGTAAAACAGATGAGGCTTATAGTATAATTAAAAGGAATTTTAGAGATGTAGGATACAGTAGTATTAATATAAGAAACGAGGCAGGGGTCATTTTGATAGAAAATAAGGAAAAAGCAGATAGGTGAAAAGAATATTTAGAAAACTTATACGCAGGCCATGAAGTAAAGGAAGATAGTGTGGAGATAGATGAGCTAGGTTATCCCATAATGAAAGAAGAGTTCGATATAGCATTAAAAAATTTAAGGAATAATAAGGCGCCAGGTGTAGATGGGATACAGTGGGCAATTCTAAAACATGCAGGACAAGAGGTTAAAGATCGTACGTTTAAGCTAGTTAGTCACATTTACTAGACGGAGAAAGTCCCAGAAGATTATAAACGGAACCTGGTAGTAACATTACTTAAAAAGAGGGGCGCGGATAGGTGCGAGACATTTAGAACAATTAGCTCAACTTCCCATGCGTCAAAAATCTTAACTGGAATTGTACAAAGGAAAATGGAAAAAAGGGCGGAAGAACTACTAAGATCAATTTGGGTTTAGAAGAAATAGAGGAACGAGGGAGGCCATTCTTGCTTTACGGGTAACAATAGAAAAAAACGATAGAAAAATGAAGGTGTACATAGGATTTGTAGATTTAGAAAAAGCTTTTGACAATGTTAAATGGGACAAGATGTTAAATATATGTTAAAATGTAGAGACGAGTTACAAAGATAGAAAAGTGATATTTATTTTGTATAAAGAGCAATAGGCACATATAGAGCTAGGGCTGCAACGTAGAGAAGTAACAATTAGGAAGGGAGTCAGACAGGGATGCACACTGTCACCGCTGCTTTTTAATCTATACATCCAAGACGCGATCAACATCATTACAGACAGTACAACTGTAGGGATACATTTACAGGGGTAAAAGATTAGTATGCTTAGATTTGCAGATATAACAGTATTAGCATCCAGCGAGAAGGACGAAAAATTAGAAGTGGCTGATTTTACATATCCAGGAAGTAAGATAAGTCAGGACGGAAGGAGTAGTAGGGATATAAAGCAGAGGATAGCGCAGGGTAGTGTCGCCTTCTATGCTCGCGAACGGTTAATTTAAAAATTCGAAAAAAGTTGTTGAAGGTGTATGTTTGGAGCGCATCGTTGTACGGGTGCGAAACATGGACAGTGGGCGCGGCAGAATTTCGAAATGTGGTGTTATAGACGAATGATAAGGATAACGTGGGTAGAAAATGTTAGAAATGAAGTGGTATTAGAAAGAATAGGAGAACAGAGGACTGAAAGTCAGTCAAAAATAAGGGAGATAAGTTGGTAGGACACCTTCTCAGACATGAAGGCCTAGTCAGAGACATATTAGAGGCAGAAACAGGAGTTACGAGGGTAGAGGTAGACCTAGGTTAGATTACTGTTCGCAAATAGTTAAGGATGTGGGTTGTTCTAGTTTTGGGGAAATGCGAAGATTAGCTCAGGATAGGAAAGAGTAGAAGTACGTGTCCAACCAGTCTTAGGACTGATGACCTTATGATGATGATGATGATGATAGAGAAACATCAGTGTAATACGATTGAATGGAAGAGAAACAAAAAAATCTGGAGGGAAAAGGGAATAAGACAAGGGTATAAATTAGGTGCGTATTTATTTAACATATATTTAGGTGACCTAGAGCAAGAAAGGTGTAAGATAAGCGAGTAGTAGTGGAAAAGAAAAAACATTGGACCATGACATGATGATATTCCTTTGAAATCAACAAATATGGCGGCTTTGAATGGAATGATGAGTTTTAGAAAGATATTTAGGAAGGAAGGGTTTATATGTAAATACTAGCAAAACGAAATTTAAAGAACTTATAGAAGGGGTAGGAAAGGAAACGAAAACAAGGAAATTAGATGGAAGGGTGAAATGATAGAGAAGGTTAAAAAATACACATACTTAAGATATATAATAACTCAGAGACATATTAGAGGCAGACGTGGAAGTTAGGAGGGGTAGAGGTAGATCTAGATTAGATTAATGTTCGCAAATAGTTGAGAATATAAGTTTTTCTAGTTCTAGGGAAATGCGAAAATTAGCTCAGGATAGGGAAGAGTGGAGGTACGTGTTTCCAACCAGTCGTAGGACGACCTTATGAAGATGATGCTGTATATTATTTGATTTAAAAGCAAACTGATAGAATTTCGACCACAAGCGAGTTCTAATAAATCAATTATAATCTTATATGGCAAAGTCTTGTAATGTAATCGATCGTTTCATGAAAACTCATCAGTTCATGAAACACTGTCACAGAAACGAATAAACATTACAAGTAGATTAAAATGAGAACGACTTCTTACGTGCACGAGAATATTGTTTTAACGTCAGTTCAGTAGCGGCGTCTATTTGGTTTGCTGAATGAGAGTAAACGCTCAGCTGAGTAGTTTATTTCCTAACATTCTAACTGAAATTTGATATTTGCATGCATTTGTTTTGAACATAATCTATCGTTATACAATTGATATTAATACATAACGGCTTAATAAAGTTGTTTTGACATACAAAATAGAACATAAGTAGAAAATGCACAACAGAGACGCCTAATTTAAAATGAGTTGTCACTGTCAGAATCATAATAA